CCCCGGGGACCTGGGCGCCGGGCTCCTGGCGCTCGGTGGCTCGGCCAGCCCCCTGCTCGGCGGCGGCGGGAGCGGGCTCGCCAGGACTGTCCTGGTGCAGGGCAGCGGGCCGCGCGTGGGGCTCCTCGCTGTACAGCCTCTCGTCGTCTGCGCCCGCGTAGGAGGCCGAGTCGGGGTCGGAAGAGGCTGCCGAGGTGTCGTCCCGGAAGGCGAAGGCCTCGTCCATGCCCTCGGTGATGGAGAGGTCAGACAGGGACTGCAGGGAGGACGCGAACGTGCTGTCGTCCTCGCCCTCCCCGGCTGGGTCCCCTCCAGGGACAGGGACCTCCTCCTCCTGCTCTTCCTCGTCCTCGGGGGCCCTCGGCGTCACCTCCACGGCCTCCACCTGGACGATGAGGCTGCCTCGGAAGGGCAGGAGGGCAGCGGGGATCATGGGGTCGTTGGCCAGGAAGTCCAGCTCGAAGAAGTGGCCCTCCTGGCCCCAGGAGGAGCTGCTGTCGGCCGAGACGCTGGACTCTGGGGACGGGGGGCCGGGGGGCCCCGTGGGAGACAACTCCTGCTCGTCGGCCACGGAGCCCGCTGGGGAGAAGCCCCAGCCTGAGGGGACGTCCAGCCCTTCGGCCGGGGCCAGCAGGCTCAGGGAACAGGACGGGGACGAGGCCCAGCTGTCCCCATCTGCCGTGATGTAGGAGCCCGAGGGTGAGGCAGGCGGCGAGTCCCCTGGCTCGGCTGGGGTGTCCCGGGCCTCCCTGCGGGGCCCGGGGCCAAGGAGCAGGGCAGAGGCGCTCTCGGTGGGGGTGGAGGGCGGTGTGAAGTAGGAGTCAGGGTCTGAGGCAGGGCAAGGCACAGGAGGGTCACCCTGAGAACACAACTCGGGGGGTGGGTCCAGGCTGGGGTGCCCACCCTCCCGGTCCCTGAGCTCTGGCAGGGCTGCCCTGGATGGCGGGGGCGCCTGGCGGGTCTCCTCACCCATCACGATCCGGGGCTCCAGGGTGGCTGGGGGAGGACCCCCGGCGCGCTGGGCCTCGGGGGAGCCCGGGCTGGGGCTGCCTTCTGCGGGCACCGCCCACGCCGAGGGGTTGCCGCCCGACCCTGCATCCCAGCTGGCTCCGTCCGGCGGGGGCCGGGCGCCCGGCTTGCTGGGCAGAAACTCCAGGGCCAGGGCGCTGGGTCCGGGGGTCAGGGCACAGTGCTCCAGCCGGTCCCCCCTCGGGGTGGTGGCCGCGGCCACATCACAGGACGACTCTGTGGAAAGAGGGGGGGCATGAGGAGGGCAGACACCCTCTGGGAGCTGGAGCTGCTGCGTCTGGGGGAGAATTTCAGCGAGTTCCGACCCCGGGGGCACAGCCTGGGGCCAGGGGGTGGGGGGTGGGCACCGTGGCTCCCGTCTGAGGCTCGGCAAGGCTGGACTAGCACCTGGCTCCGCGGACGCTGGCTGGCTGGCCCCCTGCCCTCAATCTGTGCTGGGCCTGGTGGGCGACCTCTCCTGACCTCCTGCGCCAGAGGCCCCCAGGGGCAGGGGACCTGCACCCGCTGGCCCTGGGACGTTCTAGGTCTCCCACCTCCTGTGCATGGGGGTCTCGCCTCTCTGCCTAGTCTCTCTCCTTGCTGCCCACACCTGAGGCCAGCCTCTGGAGGTGCCCTCTGGCTCTGCCCTCGCTCTTGCTCCCAGAGCTGGTGCACAGAGGAGGGAAGCGGAGCCACTGTGTGTGTGCGTCCTCAGGCTGCGCGTCCCACGGAGGCCGAGCTGGAGCATGGGGGTGAGAAGGGTTCCCTCCGCCAGGAATATGCCAGCCGGTCCCAGGGCAGTGTTATGGGGGCTGCTTGGGCCCCGACCACGTTCTCAGGGGGGGTTCCTGCTCTATCACCCGTGATCACCCCACAAGTACCTCTGTGCCTCAGCTGTCTGTCTGCAAAGTCGAGTATCTCCCAGGATTAGAGGTGAAGCTTTTACGAAGGGGCAGTGCCCTCCGCAGCCTGTCCATCGGCCTGCAGCAATGGGGGGCAGTCCCTCGGGGCCCTTGGGCCGCACTACTGGGATTCTGAGGTGGCCAGGGGATCCCAAGAAGGGGGTCCTTTGGGTCCACTGCCGTGTGACAGACACCCAATGCCTGGCGGTGGGTGTGGTGGGTGGGGACGGGTGGAGACCGGCTCCTGGCACTGAGCCTGGGGTGCCTTTGCCCACCCGCCCTGGGGCAGGGAGAGGGCAGAGCTGGGCCAAGGAGGGGGGGTGAGGAAGGGAAGCCAAAGGCCAAAGGTTTTTGTAAGCATTCAAGGTCATCAAGCAGCCTGAGACCCTGGGTCTGGGGAGTCCTAGCCTCCACCTACTTTACTGGACCCCAGAGGGAGGCCAGGCCCCTGGACCCAGCACTGGTGACATTCCCAGGTGACTTATACACAGCAAGGTGCCCTTGGCCCTCCGGGGATCACTCATGGCTGACCTCCTGCTGGGCCACCCTGGCTGGTCCTTCCAGACCCAGGCAGACCCCCTCAGCCTCCACCCACACTTGCTGACCTAGCCTGTCCAAGGATGTAGGCCTGCACCCCGGGGCACTGCCCCCCACACCTTGCTCCCTCAGGGCATCCGACCTCCCACCCTCACAGCCTGACCCCCTGGCTTCCCCAGGCTCCAGCTCCGTTCGGCTCCACCTGGCCAGGCCAGACCAGTCACCGGCCCTGAGGCAGCTTCAGGCATCTAGGGGGCGAGTGCCCGTGGTGGTGGGGGTGCAGTTGAGAACCCCCCACCTCTGGTCCAGAGCCGTGGGGCCAGGGCCCGCAGCTCCTCACAGACAATGGGGCGGCGGTGGCCCAGAGGGTGGGACGTGGGCCGGGAGCCACGGAGCCCTGGGATGCTCACAGGCCCTCGCGTCGCTTCTGGCTCCTGGAGGCCATCCCGTTTCCGCCCGCCCGCCCTTCCCCGCAGTCCTGAGCTGGGACGTGCGGGGCTGGGGGGGTGGGAGGCGGTCAGGATTCAGGTGCCCGAAAGGGCAGGGCGCCAAAAGGACCGGAGAGGGGACGGGAGGCGGGGGGCGGTGATTGGAGAAGGGAGAAGGACAGAGGGGACAGGCAGGGAGAGGGACCGGAGAGGGGACGGGCAGGGACAGGGCGGCCGAGACGCGCGCAGGGTGCACAGCGCGAGGCCTCACCTGTGCGGGGCCCGGGCCTGCCCGCCTCCGGCAGCAGCGGCTCGGCACGGGCAGCCTCCCCGGGCATGGCCTGACCGTGCGCCCTTCCCTCGGTGCCCGGTCTGTCCGCGCGTCCGTCCGGCGGAGCCTGCGCGGCCACCGCCCCTCGGCCAGGGGGTAGGGGGTGGGTGGGTCATCGGATGACGTCAGCACCGCCCCGCCCGCCCGCCCGGCGCCCCGAGTGAGCGTGCGCGTGCGCCCCAAGCACTGCGGAGCGCCGTGGCGGGGGGCGGCCTCCCTCCTTCCCCCGACCGGGGCTGCGCCCTCCTTCCGCGCTGTGCGGCCCCGCCTTTCCCGCAGCATTCCCCCCTGAACGCGAGGGGGCTCGGGGACCAGTCGGAAGCTGGCCGGACCCCAGGGAACATCACCCCTAAGCCGGGCCTGGAAGAGGCGGGGTTGGGGAGGGTCGCCGGCGCGCGGGGCACGGGGGTCTCGGCGCCCTGGGGGAGGTGGCGGCGCCGTCCTGGTGCCCGGCCTCCTGCGTCCCCCTTGCCTCCATCCAGGAGGTGAGCTGGAGCCGCAGCTCCACGCTGATTGGCTGGCCGTCGCACGTTGGTCTCCGTGGCAACCGCCTCCCGGCTCCATGGAAACCGGAGACCGGAGCCGGCGCGGCGGGAACGGCAGCCCGGGGGGAGCTGGGCGGACCGGTCCCGTGCGCCCCGCAGCTTGGCTCCCGGACACCGGGGCGGGAGGAAGAGGAGAACCACGCTTTCCTCCGCCTCGGCGGCCGCCCGCGCCACACCTCAGGGCTGCAAGCCCTCCCGAGCCTCCTTGAGCCGTGCCCTTGCTTCCACCCGGGCCCTCCCGCGCTCGCACCCGCCCAGTGCCAGGCTCCGGCTCCGGGAGACAGATGGCCATTGTCGCCATCCCAGAGCTGGGCGGGGGCAGGGAATCAGAGCGGTCATTGTCGTGGGGGGGGGGCAGGGAGTCTCCCCAACCCTGTCTCCTGCGGGCGCTGCCCTGGACGCACCGCAGAGCTGGCTCCCTGCCTGCGCTGGACACCAGACCCGCCACGCCCAGCCTGAGCCCTGCATCCTGCACCCCTCTCAGTCGCTGGAAATGCTGGAGATCCGTCCATCTATCCCTCTGTTGGGGACCCTCCCCTTCCCCCACGCCTTCATCCTCACCTCCCAGGCTCTTCTAAGTTGCCTCCTCCCATGGCCCTTCGCCCGTGGCCGTAGCAGAGTCCTTCACGGTTCCCACTGCTCTGCCGACCCCCTACCATCTGGCCTGCACACACTTTCCAGAAACCAAAAGCCCTTCAGCATGCCCTGAGGGGCTTCTAGTCTGGACGAGGTGGCTGGCCTAGGCTTGTCTCTGCTTTTCCCGACTACCAATAAACGCAGGAAATCAGAGACAACCAAACAGAACTCTCACACATGAAAAGAGGTGACGTGGTGAGGGTCCCCAGGCTGGAGGAACAGAGCAGACCGACATAAGGGGGTCCGAGACCACGTTTCCTGACCCCCAGCCTGCTACCAGGAAGAGGACCACGTAGACGTATTCATCCCCATGTGGGGCTGGAGTCCCACTGACGACTCTGGGTTGGGGGGTCTGCTAGAACCGGCAGGAGGATCAAGGAGAGGCCCACTCCTTCCCCACCCGGCTCACCGGCCCCCCTGCCCCACCGAGAGGCCCCAAGGGTGTGGGGGGGAAGTACTCCTCCTAGGGGCCAGATACCCCACCCCCATCCAGAGGCCCAGGATGGCCCAGCAGGGACCTCTGCACGGTCCACTGTCACTGAAACCACAGGCCACTAGAGTAGCCCAGGACCTGCCTGCTGAGTCCAAACAGGATGACCACCTCCTAAAATACAAAATGTGAACATAATAGCCTGACTGTTCAGGAGACAATAAAAAAATCACCTGTCATACCAGGAAACTCAAGGAAGAACCCAAGACTCAGGAAAGTCACAACTAGAATAAGAAAGAGTAATCAACTGATGCCCAAACTGAGGTGGAGATGCTGGAATTATCTGACAAGGATTTTAAATCAGTCGTAATTGAAGAGGTTCCATAAGGAGTAACAGTTTATCTTGTAGCAAATGGAAAATGTCAGCAAAGAAACAGACATAATACAGAAGCAAACCAAAATCACAATATGATACAGAATCACTGAAAGGAAACACTTGCTGAGTGGCTTATCTGTGGCCAGAAATGACAGAGGATGTCCCAGTGAGGCTGAAGATGGATCCACAGAAAGTACTCAACCTATTAACAACAATGAGAACAAAAACATTGGGGAAAAACATTGAACAGAGGCTCAGGAACCTGTGGGATAACAACACAAGATCCACTGTTCACATAACCAGAGTCCCATAAGAAGAGTGGCAGGGGCGAGCAGTTGAAAAGAGTATTCAAAGAAATGATGGCTGAAACTCCCCAAATTAGGCAAAAGAGAGAGACTTAGATTCAAGGACCTGAGCAAATCTCAAATACGATACATCCAAGGAAATCTACGTCCGGCCACTTGAGCTGTAACTTCTGAGCACCGAGGACGATCACGGAAGCAGCCAGAGAGACGAGCACGAGACCCACAGGGAACGCTGAGGACAACCACAGTGCACTTCCGATCCAGAGCCAGCGGCTGGAAGGAAGCGGCGCCATGTTTTCCAAGTGTTGAAAGCGAGCATCATTCGAGGAGGAAGACACTCGCTTCAGCCACGCGCCCGTGCACACACACAAGAACAAAGGAGAAATGCATTCTGAGCCAGGGGACACTGAAGGCTCCAGCCCCGGCAGACCGCCCCCCGCAAGCCCAGGTATAGCGCGTCTCTCCACAAGGATGGACATGATAAGGGTGGCCTCTTGGGCATTGGGAGGGAAGAAGGAACATGGGAAGGGCAGAGAGACGGGCGCAACAGTGGGCACTCCTTCTCCTGAGTGCCTGGTGGCACGTGTGATGAGAGAAACAAATGTTAACACCAGCTGACATTCGAGAGGATACTTAAAAGCAGGGATGGCAAAGCAACCAACATGGAAGCAGTGTGCACACGTAACCTGAAGTGCACACACTGCTGGCAGCTGACTGTGAGGACCTGCACGCGAGTGTGTTTCCATACCCAGAACAAACTCTAAGAAGACCATTCAAGGGGTGCCTGGGTGGCTCAGTTGGTTGGGTGTCTGCCTTTGGCTCAGGTCATGGTCCCAGAGTCCTGGGATTGAGTCCTGCATCAGGCTCCCTGCTCAGGGGGAAGCCTGCTTCTCCCTCTTCCTCTGCAGCTCCCCCTGCTTGTGCTTGCTCTCTCCCTCTCTCTCTCTCTGGGTCAAATAAATAAATAAAACCTAAAAAAAGAAGACAATACAAGATGACACACCTCCAAACCACTCTATATAAGTCAAGATAGAGTCCTTTAAAATGTTCAGAGTCCTCAGGTGGGGTGTCTGGATGGCTCAGTCAGTTAAGCATCTGCCTTCAGCTCAGGTCATGATCTCAGGGTCCTGGGACTGAGTCCCATGTTGGCCTGCTCTGCGGGGAGTCTGCTCATGTTCTCTCTCAAATAAATAAATAAAATTTTGTAAAAAAATGTTCAGAGTCCACAGGAAAGCAAGATGAGAGAAACAAAAGAACAAGAAACAGAGGCAAACAAGAAGACAAATAACAAAATGGCAGACTTTTGGCCTTAACACACATAAATGTAAATAGGCTAAATATACAAATTACATTAAATACGTTAAAACGTATACTCACAGATTAGGAGGCAAAGACTGGCAGAGTGGACAAAAAAGGCAGACTGAACTATATGCTGTTTATAGGAAAGTCACTTCAAATTCAGTGACGTAGGTGCACTGGGAGAAAGTAAGAGAAGAAGATACACAATATGAATAGTAATCAAACACAAAACAACAACAAAATGAAGAAGCAGGAGTGGCCGGGTTAATATCTGAGAAAGTAGACTTTTGAGCAAAGGAAGTAAGTGGCGACAGACTGACATTCTGTGATGACACATTAGAGGTAATGATCGGTCCACCAGGAAGACATAACAATCCTAAATGTGCACACACCAACTATTAGAGCCTCAAATACACGAGGCTGAAGCTGGCAGAGCTGAGGAGAGACTGGCGTACCTGCAAGTATGGTTGAGGACTTCACTTTGTCCCCTCGACAACCCACAGGACCACTAGAGAGAAAACCAGCCCAGATGTAGGAGACCCATGCCATCCGCCCGCCCACAGCATCCCGCAGGGTAGTCCACCCAGCAATACAGAGTGCTCCTATGTTCAAAGTAGGGAACATTTCCCAAGAGAGATCAAACCTCGGGCCATAAAACAAACATCAACACATCTAAAATAACTGAAATCACAGTGTTTGTATTCAGACCACAATGGACCCCAACAAAATCAATCACAGCAAGACAACAGGAAAATCTCCAAACACTGGGAAGAAAACCACACTCTTGTAAATGATCCATGGGTCAAAGGGGAAGTACCTCGGGGCGTTTTTTTAAAAACACAGAACTGAACCAAATAAAAATAATACAAAACATCAAAGTATGTGGTCTACAGCTAAAGCAGTGGTGAGAGGGATATTTATAGCACATCAGAAAGAGGCAAGACCTCAAAATCATTGAAATTCCTTCTTTTCCTGACAGGAAAAGAAGAGCAAAATAAAATCAAAACAAGCAGAAAGAAGAAAATAATAAAGTCAAGAGCAGAAATCAATGAAATTGAAAATAGGAAATCAATGAAACAAACAAAATGGTTCTGAGAAGAATTAATAAGATTGACAACCCCCTAGCAAGACTGACAACCTTAAGAGGAGAGGAGACACAAATGCCCAGTATCAGAAGTGCCCTGGCGGCTGGATGCTTAATTCTGTGTCAGCCTGACTGGGCCACAGGATGCCCGGACGGCTGATAAGATTCTGTTTCTGGGAGTGCCAGAGTGATGTTTGAAATCTCTGGAGGCAAGAAGAAAATTAAAATCTACCAAATTCGAGCAAGCAAAATGAAGTAGATAATCTGAACAGTCCTGGAACCATGAAAGAAATTGAATTTTTCATTTAAAACCTTCCCCAAAGAAATGTTCAGGCCCAGATGATTTCACTGAAGAATTCTACCAAGCATGTAA